AGGCAGTGATATATATATACATATATATCTATTTATATAGATATGAAGTGCCGCGTATCCCGGTTTGTTAGTCGGCATTCACGCTATAAGACCCGTGAGGGCGGGGTTTTAATCCCCTTGGCCATAGTTGATCTTAAGGAGGTGATACTCGAATTGTTAGGCATATTAGGGGTGGTTGGAGGCTTGTATAATAGCCTCGAGCCACTCCTTATATATATATATATATATATATAGATATATAAGAAACACATGGACATGACTGCATACATCAATACCTTCCCAAATCATGCTTTAATATCCGCCATCCATGGCATTTCTGGTGCTGTTCTAATTTCTTATGAGCTTCCTCTTGAACAAATGTATTAAAATGTTGATCACCTAATGCACAACTTTTGACTCTCATATTGCTGTTCAAGTGGTTTAGGTTCAAGCAGTGGAGCTGCTCAGAGCTCCCACGAGGATTGGGTCTCAACTAACACAACTGTGAGCATATTCTGTGCTATAAACTTTATACATCTAGTTCATCATCATTAACTGTTTTTCTGCCTCCCTTTCCAGGTATTTGTTGGTGGGCTTGACCAAGATGTTAGCGAAGATGAGCTCAAGCAAATTTTTTCTAAATATGGTGAGCTTGTGTCTGTTAAAATTCCACTTGGGAAGCAATGTGGTTTTGTACAATTTGTCCAAAGGTAATAGATATCTGTTCATAGGTCCTTTATTTTTCGGAAAATGTTTCATCATAGATTGGATTATAAGGAATTATTTGGTATGTTTTGACAGAAAAAATGCTGAAGAAGCATTGGAGGCTTTGAGTGGAACAGTGATTGGGAAGCAGACTGTTCGTCTTTCGTGGGGCCGCAACCCAGCCAAAAAGCAGGTGGGAGATCCTAATGCCGTTATTCTTCCTTTTATCTTATAACTACATAATTAGTTCAAGGAATATTTCATTATTGAACTTTTCCAAAATTTCTCAAATTCTGTGGACTTTTTTTTTTTTTGAAACTTTTTTGATAAATTGAAATGGTTTTTACGTATTTGTTTTCAGTTGAGATTTGAGCCATTGAATCGGTGGAGCGGAGGGTACTTTGGCGGGCAGTCCTATGGGGGATATGGCTATGGAGTGCCATTTCAGCATCCTGGTGTGTATGCTGCTGCTTATAGTCCTTATGCCATGTATGGCAGCTTCCAACAACAAGTGAGCTGATTAAGCCGTCTTTATAGACATTGATTAAGGATATATATATAGCAGTGTAGAATAGCCCTAAAAAATTAATTATCTGCCGACATAATTTATCTAGTTTCTAGGATATAAGATGTTGGGTTACATTAATTTTTATTGGTTGGTGTGACAAACTAGAATTTTTTGTACTCTATTGGTGTGATTTAAGATATGATTCATTCTTTTAGATTATTACTGCACATATTGCCAGTTAACCAAAAAGGATTCAAGTAGAACATAAATTTGATAAATTCAAGGAGAAAATATTCCTTCACCATGAACAACAGCATCATCATCATCAACTAACCTGCTATTCATAATATTAATAGAAGCTATAAAAAAGTTCAGTTTGCTTCTCTGGAAGGTGGAAGCTTTCCTAGGAGGAAAGAAGAGATCATTTCCAATGCTCTTTTGGGCTGGTAGCTAGGAACTTCATGTCCTGCCCCTCTAATTGTCACCAAAGCCAGCCCTTCATATTGCACAACATAGCCTCCTACCTGCATCTAAATAATAAATAACTTGCACTTTTGGGAAGAAAAATTGGCAAATTCTGTTTGCTTACTTCTTGATTAAGATACCATGGTCTCCAAGGTTTCAGAATGGGGAGCCCAAGCATTTTAATGAAGTTTTTGGTGCTGGTAATGGGAACTACAGCATCAACATCACCACTGCCAATTTTTTTAAAAAAAACTCTTTTATTTCGTTTTGTAAATCATACTTGAGATAAGAGCAGCAGTAATGCAGGGATATCCGAATTGTATGATTTTGTACCATAAACTCACCTGTATAACCATATATACAAGCCTGTTGAAATCAAGTTCTGGAAAGTAGAGAGCATAGTTGTAGGCCCATCTCTCCAGTGTAAATTCCTGAAAAATGGAAAATGCTTTGGGAAGCCAAGTATGAAAGAAGCGTGGCTCCTTAAATCATGTGCATGTTTTAATTGATTTTTTTTAATTAAGAATCATTTTCTTTTTTCAACTCAAATTAATTTCATAAGCATATGCACCTTTGTAAGTGTGTTCTATTGAATAAGACATTTTCATTTAGAAAATTTAAATAGCAACTTATCCTTGACACATTTTTTTATCATTCTTCATATGCTTTTAATTACTAAATTATTAAAAAAAATAAATTTACTGTTAATTTAAATGGTCGGTAATAGTAGTCTTATAGATTCTTTAAATTTAAGCCTTAATTAAAAATTTATATGTGATAGATATATGCTGAAAATTTGTGTAATAATAAGTAAAATTTATTATCTTAAATGAATACTATGTCTCTCTCTTCCTCTTGTGTACATCTATTCATTTATTTATGATCTATCTATATTTATCCAGCCATATAAAGAAAGGGACTTTATTATATGAGTTAATAATATGAAAAGCTTGTGTGTATTACTATTACAATAAGTTGCAACAACAATAACAAGCCTTTATCCCACCAAATGGGGTCAACTACGAGAATCTTTTTTCTCCATTATCCATCCAATGGGTGTCATATTTTTATTTAATTCTAATAGATTAAGATCTTTTATTAAGCAATATGCCCAATTTTTTTTTAATGTCTCCCTCTGCATTGCAGATCTTTTATTAAGCAATATGCCCAATTTTTTTTTTAATGTCTCCCTCTGCATTTCTGAACATAAGTCGAGCATAAAACATTTACTCTCCTAGCTGGATCATCAGACAACCATCTAAGACGACTTTCTTTAATCCTGTCTACCACTGGAGCTATACTAACCCTTTCACGAATAGATTCGTTTCGCATGGGATCTGCTCACAATTTTAATATAAATCTACGTACTTATTTAGGAGCTCTTAACGAGTCTATTGATCTTAACACAAATTGCTAAAATGGTATGGAGTCAACTTGCTCAGTCAAGTTTAAGAGAAAACAAAATAAAATAAATAAATAAATAAATAAAAGAAAAACCAAGGAGTACTGTAAGAGAAAACAAAATAAAATAAATAAATAAATAAAAGAAAAACCGAGTACTAATGTGTAATACTATATTTTTTTTCCTTTTTTTTTGAATAATGGTTAAAAATAAATCATTTTCAGTCGTCCTAAGTTTAACTAAGAGCCTGTTTGGGACAGCTTATAAGTGAGACTGTGTTTTCAAAAGGTCACCTTTGTTGTTGTTGTTGTTGTTGTTGTTTTATACACATTCGAAAACAGCTTATTTGATTTATTACGCGAGCCGCGGAAACGGGGATCACGACGTTTTTGATGCGGCGTTACAAAATTATTCCTTCGGTGTGCTTCTCCTCTCCGCTCCCTCGCTTGATCTCATGCCCAGCTCGATCGAATCCAAACCCTAAGTCCCAAATAGGGAAAAAATTGCGTACGTAAGACGTACGCAGCGCTGCGTACGTCTTCCAATGGGAACATGACACATCAGCCCAACCAGTCCCAACGCGTAGGTTTGAAATATTCCCCGCGTGACCCGTTGACTCAACCCGTGTGGTTATATATGAGCAATAACAAATCTGTAACCGCCGTGTAACTGCCCTGTTTAATCCTGAGGTACACTTGTAATACCCAATCCGTAACTCTTAGAAACCGCGGACCCCTTGCACCACGAATGTGTAACTGATCTATAACTGCCGTGTAACCGCACCGTTTTTTAATTCAGCATAATGATTGCTTACATCTTGATCCTGATTGTCGGAACTAATGACAGGTTGTTGGAAAACTTCAAAGGGTCAAGGAGTTGTTGTGTGTGGGGTTGTATTTAATTATGGATATTGTGTTGATTGTATCTGCATCTTGTTTCTTACTTTAGCTCGGGCTGTACATGAAAGCAGAATTTGTGATGTTGTTTCTATATTTGTAAAGCATATTGGTTAATACAAAGAGAAATGGTTTTAGAAATTTTAGAATATGTGATGCTGCAATGACATAATTGCAGAATTTCTGTCGTGACCTAATTGCAGAAATTTTGGAGCCCTTTAACATAATGCTTATTGCAGAAATTTTGAAGCCCTGTAACATTTGAAAATTTTGATGTGACTTATAATAATACAGCTTGTTAGTTTTAAATCATATAACTTTAAAACTTGTGGCTCGAATTGTGACTTCTACAATATTTAAAAAGGACACATTTCTTGGCTCGAATTGTGACAGAACCAACTCCATTCCATTCAAATTAGGACGCAATTCCTTCCCATGACAAAATGAATATGATTTACAAAGTACAAATGCCTTGGCTACAAATTTGCTACATTCCATATGATTTTTCTTGCATCTGAAAATCTAAGTCCCTCTATGAAGTTGCAGAATTTCAAAAAAACTTATTCCCTGTATGAAGTTGTTTGAATTTCTGTAACTTTTGGAGCCCTGATTTATGAGTAAGCTTAACCAAAAAAACATATGAACTTACAATAGTTAAAGGAAGTAAGCTTAACCCTAATTTATTGAATAAATAAAAAGCAAAAAACATCCTGGTTACATGTACTTTAAAATCATACTGAGTACAAATGCCTCAATACAAATGTCTCAATACATTCTCATAAAAATTACATAAGAAAACAAATGCCTCAATACAATTCGTCCTACACACAACAAATGACTCAATACAAATTAGTATGAGCACAATAAATGCTTCAATAATGTTGCTTACATCCTGATTAGAACCAGAGTGAAAAAACAAAATAACATATTTGTAAATCTTTTTTCATGAAAAACCTCGCAATTAAAGAATATGTCAAATTACATACTGATCATGTATTGAATATGTCATCATTGCAGTGTAGGATTCCCTGTACCATGGAGGAAAGAAATTATGCATTTGAAAGATCCAAAAATATTAAAATACCATGCATAACACAAAACAATCAACACATGGTTATCAACGTTTTGCATTATATATTGACCTGTGTTAGAAAATCAGGCAGTGACAACATGTTTGGATCAGACTTTAAAGCATTGGGTTCTTGACTGGTTGAAACTTCTATCAGTTTACCTGTTAAAGTGGTTATGGGTAAGAAACTTGTCATTGGATAAAATATCCCAAAATCAAAATTTTTAAGCAAAAAAATACCTTTTGCTCTTTTCTTTCTCTTCGTTCGTCATTCACCGGATTTTTATTTTTTTAGCTTGTTTCTGTGACTTTGAACCTCTTCAATTTATTATGTCATCAATATCCAACGATAATTTCTTCATTGAATCCTTCATGCATAGCGACCTCTGCATTTCCCTTGGCTTTATTAGTAATTAGATATGCCATTTTTTCCATGTGTGTTTGGAATATTAGGTCACTTTTACCATAATTTCACATTTGTGACTGTTGGAAATGTTTGTATGCATAATTGTTATACACATCTCATTTGCAGACCATCTCAATAGGAGATATTTATGTGGGGTCTTCTTAATATGTAGAAAATTCAATATTCGTAGAGAGTGTTCACATAATAGCTCCATTATTTCGAATTTTCTGCAGCTACATTGACCTCCGAACTGAAAACTTTCAACCAGTCAAGAACACATGATCCGTGAATTTACCACCCATGTTCTGTTTGTCGTGTGATCAACCAAATTCTTAATAAAAAAATCATTTTCATTGTTTACAGAGGCGTGTAATTGAAGACCACATTTTCCGTGAATAAACTCTTCCTCAAACATATTATAGGGCTTCCTTTAGGGAAATACAGCTGATAAACTCTTCCTCAAACATATTATAGAGCTTCCTTTAGGGAAATACAGCTACCTGCCTCAATATTAGGCTGCTTTTCGCAACTGGATTGATCACAGATTGATTGCACTTGTAATCTTCGTCCTTCTTGTTACGCCTCCATGCTCTCATGTCTTGTTCAAGGCCCAAAAAACAATCAGTAATAGAACTTGTGGGCTTAGCGACACCATGACAAATATTATTTGTTGATTCACTTTTATGGGTGGATAAAATTCCCATTCTAAATACATCTTTATTAAAAGTTGTAGCCCACTTATCTCTGATGTTGTACATCTCATCAACCACACGTTCTCCTGTAGATTGCTAGTCTCAATCATCATCTCCCATGTATTATCAAATTCCTCTTCAGACTCGCATTTGCTCATACACTTATAAAAAAGATTAATGACTATTGATTCACCACCCCGCAGTGAACATTTTAAGTAATTTCTTGTATATGTGTCACTAACATAATCTATGTCGTGTATTTGACAAAATTTGTTCTATGACTTTTCTCATTGCATGATCCTGATCAATATATATTATAATTGGATGATTGTTGCCCATAATAGGGATAAAAGTTTTATAAAGCTAATTAAACGACTCTGTTGTCTCCTCTGACAAGAATCTAAAGCCAAAGAGAATATTCTGTCAATTGTGGTTAACACAAATAAAAGGAGCATAACACAAGTTATATTTATTTAATTTGTAGTTAGTATAAAAAAAAATAACATCACCAAAGCAATCATAATGATGCATAGACGTGTCGTCACTCCAAACAAAACTCATCAGTCTACCACTCTCATCAATTTCAAAGTCTCACTCAAACATGCTATCCTTAGCACGTCTCTCTGTGAACAATTGCAATAAAGCATTGACATCACTTTTTTTAATTCTACATCTCCTCTCTCTTTGAATGAAATTGAATGCATCTATCTTAGTACATGTTCTCAACTCCTCCAACTTCTGTGGCTAGAAAGTTAAACACATCTCTAGGTCTTATCTCTGACAGTGTCATCGATCTGAGCACATCTGCATTGACTTCGCTTATCTTTCTACTGGACCACAAGAGGTGCTTATCACCGGGGTTTTCTAAGGAGTGGTTATGAGATTCAATGAATTTTTTAAATGTCCAATTGTCTTCAACATCAATTGCGTATAGAATCATTGCCGGACAACCGCTTCTTGTGTCCGCTCTTTTGTATTTAACGGTTTTTGTGGCCTCAGCTCTTTCTTGAAACCTGCTTTTCTACAGACAAAGTCCTTTGTCTTAAGATTTCTGGAGTTAGGCCAGAAAGTGTCGTGCTCCTTACGTACACCAAATCTGATATGATGAGCGTAAGCACAATATACTTCGTAAGCTTCTTTCTCATTGTGGACCAACGTTTCAAGTAAAATATTTGCAGTTAGCTCCGTACATTTAGGTTCACTCTCATCAAACTTCAGAAAATATAAAACTATATTAAACTCAATAACAAATGCACACACAAACAACCCTAAGAAGCACATCTAACAAATAAGAACACTATAGTAAACCCTAATAAGAACAACACAACAAACAAAACAAAAATCATATAACTTTACAAAAATTCACCTTCATAATATTCTTAAAAATCATACAACAAATAAGAAAACCCTAAAAGCAAATAGCATTTTAATAAAAATTGAAGAAATGTCTCCTAGTTAGACCTCAAAACACACTAAGGAAATCACCAAGAAACACAGCAACAAACACACCAAGGAAAACACCAAAGAAACAGACCTAAACACACCAAGAAACAAAGATATGCCGACGCACAAACACAAAAAAATTTGTCCAAAAAAGAATACAGAACTACAAACATTCAACTAATTCACAAACACACTTCCACTTTAGCATCGACTTCTTCTCTGTTGGCCGGAAATGTATTTTCTCCTTCCTCGTCAAACACGAAATATCAGTTTGTGTAGTCCATCTTCAACATCAATAAAACAGTAAACCCTAGCTGCTTGAATAGTAACATTCTCGTGCTCTGATTTTTGAGGGAAGGTTATCATGCAGTTACATTGTATTCACTGCAACGGTACAACTCCTTGAATTGGCGAAAGGTTCTTGGAGATTACCGCAAATTTACAAAGCCACGATACCGAGCTTTGGAGGTTACCACAACGTTACACGGAAGGTACATTTGGTCCAGTGGGATGCAGAGGTTACTGGGCAGTTACACATCAACGATACAGAAGGGTGCGAAGATTACCGCATAGTTACACATCGACAGTACAGGGGTCTGCGATTTATCAGAGTTACAGATCTGTTATTGCAGCTGTATCGCGGGATCAAACGGGGCAGTTACACGACAATTACAGATCAATTATTGCTCATGTATAACCGCGCGGGCCGGGTCTACGGGTTTCTAACCAGTTTGACTGATGAGTCATGCTCGCATAAAATTATTGCGTCCGCCCACCACACGCAGAGATGCGTGCTGTGAGCCAATAAAAACTCCTCATTTATCAAAAAAAAAAAAATTATGTTAGTGGGCCCACTTTTATTCCAATAAAAACTCCTCATTTATCAAAAAAAAAAAAAAAATTATGTCAGTGGGCCCACTTTTATTTTTTTATTTTTATTTTTATTTTTATTTTTCGCGTGCGCCGAGAGCTCCATGCTCGCAGCGGTGCGTACGCAAATTTTTTCCCTCAAACAGCCCCGTCGTGCTCGAAAAAATATTATCTGCATAGTTTTTCGTCGTGCTCCGCCCTCTTTATCCTCTGCTCTACGCTAGGTGTCTCTCGCGTTCGTCTCCCTCATACCGTCTCCGTCATCGCTGCGATTCCGTCCTCCGTAGCCGAAACCCGTCTAGGCGAGCTTGAGATCGAGGAGGTAGGCGTTGTCCAGGAGGCAAATGAAGCAAAGACCAGCGAAACTCCATCTTTCTCATCCTTCCGCACCGCTCCGACCATAAACCATAGTTGGGATGGCAACGAAGGGATCGCGGCTTACAGAGACCAGCGAAACTGTCATCTTTCTCATCCTTTCGCACCGCTCTGACCAGAAACCATTGAAGAAGGTTAGCACTGGTTCCCGCCCTTACTCCTTCCGGTAAGCATAGGCTCAGGATTTACGGAGGAGTTTTCTTTTTCTTTTTTTTTTGTTTTTTTTATGTTTATTCATGTTTGCAAAAAAAATTGTTACCATTTATTTGCTAATATTTTGATGTTTTGGCTTTATTTTACTTGAAACATGGTTAAATTTTTATGCAGTACTGATTTTTTTTTTCTATTAACCTTTCTTCGTTTGAACATAGAAGTTCCAAGACTGTAGTAGGGGCTATAACTTGTTCTTGTTATGTGCTGGTAGGGTGTTCCATTCAGTACAAGTCCCAACAAAAAGGTTTTTGGGGCATTTACGTTTATAGCACACAATTGTTGTGTAATTGTTGGTTATTGCCTAGCTGATTTTGTCTTTTCTATTAGTTGGAATGGTAGGCTATCAGCCCTCGACAAGGTGAGGGTTCGAGTTTGAACAGTAAACTTGTATCATTGATCTCCAATCTTATATATTATAATGAAAAATTGTGCCTAGCTAATTAAGCATGATGGAAGTTGTTTGATGAGGCTTTTAGGGATAAAAAATCAAAAGATTCAAAATATAGATACACTCTAAAAAAAAAAGCTAAAAGCAGAATTCCTTATGACCTGCTCACTCAAAACTCTACTCGTTATGCTCTATAAATAGTTCTAAAAGAAGTATCAGAATTCAGAAGTAAGATACCTGCAACCTTTCCATTCCCCAGCTTTTGCATGAAGAGCCTTTTGCACCCCTGGATTGTTCAGATAAGAATTAACATAGTTGTCTGTGCACGGATCAAAATCCCCACCAAAACCATCCATCTAAATTTAAAAAAAAGGGGGTTAATTATTTCTAGTCCTCTAATGTCTTCAATATTCACTAGAAATAATTTAAAGCAAGACATACGACCCAATTCCTATCTATCTACATATCTAACATGTAAAATTTGATTTTTAAATTTATACCTTCCAAATCTTTCTTTTTACATAAAAATACTAGTACAACTAGTTTAGCTTTTAAATAGTGAGATGCACCTTTTTATGCTTAGGTAAGGTGGTATACATGCACAAATTGAAATTTTGGTGTTAGATATGTAGATACATAAGAATTGAGTGGTATGTATATAACTCTTCCTATTAAACGTTAAATATTGTCACTGACCGTTCTGTCTAAATTGAGCATAAAATCTGTTGGGCAAATAGGAGCATATATGTTATCGTCCTCAATATCTCCAGTCTCTGAAGAAACTAAATTAATGGCGTTTACGCATTCGGTGGATAGATTTGGGTTAGAGAAGTTGCAATTTGTCAGAAACTTAGCGTAAGTTTCATCAGATATCAATGAATGACCCCATAAAAAGTCTATTTCTGCTTTACCAGTTATATCGTAGTATAAGTAAGGGTTGCCAACCTGAAGAAAATGACAAGAATTTATTATCAACATAGGATGCTCAAAATTGAAAGGAATTTAATCTAAAATATTATGCCTAAAATTTAATTCAAAATATAAAATTTATCTTTTTGAAATGCAAGTCATTTCTATTGAGTTGCGTGACATCAGTTTCTATTTTTAAGAAAGTCATCAAGTTTCCTATAAGACAAAAAATAAAACATAAAGTTCTGTCATATACTTTATGAAGAAATGTTATAGGTATACGAATATGACTAGATATATTTGGAATTAACATTAACTCAACAACTAAAACTAGTTATCACTGTAAACATCATTCATCAGCATCATGATAATTCTAGTTTAAAATTGCTCAGAAGAGTTTTTTTTTGTAAGAAAATAAATTTATTTTGTATATAAAATGTACTGTCTTATAATTTATTAAATTTTTTTTTATGCAAAATTTAGCTAATTATTCATTATTAAAATCATGAGCTAAGTTTTTTTATTGAAAGCTATGCATGAATTTTATCACGATAAAAGAGATTAAAGGGTGTTTTTGCATCTGCATAGATAATTTGTAATAAAATTAATAGTTTTAGATTCAATTACAAGGCTTTATGTATTTATATATATTTCATAAAGCTACTCAAGCGATAGGACAATGAAATGAAAGCTGCTAAACTATTCAAATTATAATTACCATCTCTCAAATGAAATTTGTTTGATTCAATTTGCCTAAAAGATGTAGTGATATTTAAATAATGAAGGATGATTATGACATTTTCTAGGCATAATATTAAGGTAAGGTATTCAAGTTAGTATCTAATTTGACTGTTAGTTAGATTAATTATTGAATTTTGACTTACAGGCAATATTACTTTAAAATATTGTACCCAAATATATCTATAAAAATCTTATTTAATAGAAAAATGTTACCAAAAAATAACTTCTAGCCAAAATGTTTTATATCATTACTCAAATTTTCTTAAATTGTAATTAAAACATTCATAAAAAGTGAACTTTGAGAAAAAAAAGATGAAAATGACTATGATGTCATACATAATAATGGCCTAAATTACCACTTTACTTATAATTCCAAAAATTAAACAATTAGTTTACTACTAGGTAAAATTCCTACTATCTTTATTTTAAAATTGAGTTATATATGTAGTTTAACACCCTAAAACCTATCATCATAATGAACATTATAACATAAAAATTAAATATTTTTCATGCACATATCATCATAATCATTATCTCTGTTTATATATTTTTATACTAGCTACCATTATTGCATGTAAATATCTCATGTTAAATTAATGCATTGAACATGTCTTACCGCTATACCACCAAGTTTGATGTTTGTTCTATTGGATATTTTGTTGTTTATTGTGATGGAATGAGCAAGTTGAGGAACATAATGGCCAGCGTAGCTCTCTCCTGCGATGAAAAGCTCAACATTCTTGAAATGTGGAAATCTTTCTAACCAATTTATCAGAAATATATATGAGTCATCAGCAGTTCTTTTATCCCCATTTTTATTATAATCTGATGATTTCTTCGAGTATGAGAAGCCAACCCCGACTGGTGATTCCAGGAATAGAACATTCGCCACTGTCAATAAATAAATTAATCATTTTTATCACGTTAAGTAGATACAATGAAACATTCAAAAATTGCTAAATGAAGATCATGATATGATGATTATAAAATCATAAAAAAAAGCTTGAACATATGTATGTATGTATATCTCATGAATTAAAAAAAGGCCAAAATAGCATTGATTTTTTTTTTTAAATCGACACAAAAAAAAAGTTTGAAAAATGAAAAAATTGCCAACTCAGCGGCGACTTGATTGCCAGCAAAGCTGAGTCGCCGCTGCTTTGGTGACTTGCTTGCCAACTCAACCAACCTTAAAAACCTAGTTTATTTCTCTTCCTATCACTCTATCACTCACGACTCACTTCCACACTCAACCCAACGAGAAATTATTCCATACGGAGTACGTGCGCAGCTCTATGTGCGGACTTCAGTAATATCCCACTATGTGTGTTATATTCGGCCCACAAAAAAAATTACAGTGAAACCCCAGAGGTTACTGGAGTGGAATCGCGGAGATTATTTGGTGGGGTTATTGGGGAGTTATTCAGGGGTTATTGAGACATTAACTCTAATAACGCTACAATAAACAATTAATAACCCCCAAATAATGTTGAGTGGAGTCTGTTCCATTGTTCTTATTAAGAAATTAATTGACTGCTTCTTAATTAATTAATTCTCATTCCAAATTTAATCTCCCGCTTTTCTCTTCCGGACCCACCTTCTTTCTTTCCTATGGAGGGTCCCTCCATCTCCTCTTTCCAGAACAGCTTCTCGCTCTCCCAGCTATTTGATGGATTTCACGAATTGAAGCACTACCTTTAATGGACCAAACAAGAGCTTTAAAAACTACAAGAAGGTATCGCATGCTGTGTGTGAGGGCTCTTTGATCGCTGCGCTCCCATTCTTGGCTTCTGTGTTTGGCTAACGGAAGAGGTGAAAAAGGCTTCGTACCGGTTCTTCTCCTCTTCGGTGTGGCTCTCGGTTTAGAGAGAGAGAAAGAGAGGGGAAGAGAAGAAAAGGAGAAGTGAAAGAGAGAGGAGAGAGAGGAGAGAGAGAGGTTTTAGAGAGAGGTTTTTCTTGTAACGTCGAGGCGCTCGACGGTGTAATTTCCTCAGCTAATAAAATCCTCTGCAGCTCCGTGGACGTAGACAATTTGCCGAACCACGTAAATCTTGTGTCGTATTTTCTAATATTTTTTTTTTCGATCTATTTTTTCTTTATTGCCGTCATTCTTCATAACAATTGGTATCAAAACCCCGGTTCGGATCTAAGGAAGAACGATGACCGGAGACGAAGTGAAGGTTTCAGGGATCGAGAAGTTTGACGGCACGGATTTTGGATACTGGAGGATGCAGATAGAGGATTACCTCTATGGGAAGAAACTTCATTTTCCACTACTGGGAAAACAATCGGAGAAGATGGAAGAAGCTGATTGGAATCTGTTGGATCGACAGGTTCTGGGGGTTATTCGATTAACCTTATCGAGGTCCGTTGCTCACAATGTCATAAAGGAGAGGACGACGACAGATCTTATGGCGATCCTATCAAGTATGTATGAAAAGCCATCGACGAATAACAAGGTGCACTTGATGAAAAAGTTATTCAACCTAAAGATGGCGGAAGGTGTGTCGGTTGTTCAACATTTGAATGATTTCAACACTATTACCAATCAATTATCGTCCGTTGAAATTGATTTTGACGATGAGATTCGTGCACTAATATTATTACAAAATGCTTGAAAAGCCATGAGGATGACAGTTAGCAACTCTGCAGGTAAAATCAAACTGAAATATGATGATATTCGTGACTTGATTCTTGCTGAAGAGGTGCGCAGGAAAGATTCTGGCGAGATCTCAGGTTCGAGTTCAACACTGAATGTTGATTCCAGAGGGAGATCACAAGACATGAACTCAAATTGAGGAAGGTCGAAATCAAAGCATAGAGCAAGAGCAAGTTAAAGCCTGGTTAGCAAGCAACCTGCTGGAATTGTGGCAAAACTGGTCACATAAAGAAGAACTGTAAAAATCCTAAGAAGACGGATAACGTCAGTGCTAACGCTGTAACTGAAGAAGTGCAGGATGCGCTATTGCTTGCAGTTCATAACTCTGTTGACGACTGGATACTGGACTCAGGGGCTTCTTTTCACACATCTTCTCACCGGGAATTAATGAGAAACTATATTTCAGGTGACTTTGGGAAAGTGTACCTGGCTGATGGAGCAGCTTTGAACGTGGTGGGGATGGGAGATGTTGAAATTGCACTCCCTAACAGAAACAAATGGATCCTGCAAAAGGTTAGACACATTC